AAACAGAACCTGCAACAACATCCTGCAACTTGCTCATATGCCAAAAGTAGAAACAAAAGGGTTTGGCAATTTTGAATATGCCAACAATCTCCCCCTTTTTGGCATATGCAGCAAGGCATATTAAGCAGCAAACACACACCATTCACACATCCACAATCACAATCACAATCCGGTTAAGAGTTATTACAGACCATCAATTCTAACAAGCCACAAGCGGCTTTAACATCCAAATGTGTTAACAACAAAAAACAGGCAGAAAACAATAGATGGTAATACCAAATTCCTCCTCAACAGCACACACTCCCCCTGGCTTGCTGCATTCTCCCCCTTGCATTGCAGCAGAGGCCAAAAAGAGGTGGTCAAGGGTCGGCTTCCTCCGTACCATTACCATCTCCATCATCATCTGCATCAATGTCCTCATCATCGACGCTTCCAGGTTTGCGAGGCATCAGCCTCATGGCCTGTGCCACTTTTCTATTCTGAGCAATGAGAGCAGCAGACAGAACAGATTGTTCTCTCATGACTTCAGTCAGTAGCGCCCTACTCTTCTCTATGCGAGCATCGGCATCCAATGGGGCACCGAGAAGAAAGTCATTGTGAAGCTTTTTGAGGTTAGACTGGGCAATAAATGATCGAATGGGAAACACCTCCTCATCCGGTTCTGGATGAATTCCCTTAGAACTCAAGAACAGACAAATTAAACCGGGATAGGGCAATCGTTTCCATTCCACTTTTGAATCCGAACAAAAGTCAATCATCTTCTTGATTACCAAATAGCCAAAATTAATTAGCTCAAAATGTTTATCAATAGAGAAGATGAGAGTACCCATATCAGTGCTGATACTTGTATTGTTCGTGAAGATAAAGCGTTGAATGAGGCATATTATTATGCTTCTGGGCGTCGTTATGCTCAGGATATTCTTGCTGGAAGGACTTTGATTTCAGAAGCTCAGTTTATTCGGAGAGCGTATACCGATGTAGGATTCCGTGCGTTCCTTGAGGAAAAACATTTGTTGTTTTGGGCGACCGGATTGGAGCGTTACTGTCCTCGCCTTGTCAAGGAGTTTTATGCCAACTTGAGTGGGAAGGTACTCGATCCGAACTCTCTATGGTATCATAAGATATATATTCGTGGCAAAATTTTGGAACTTAGCCCTGCAGTGATCAATGAGTTGTTACAACTGCCGGCGAATGATGAAAATAAGTTGCCATCTGAGCTAATTGACGAATCAACAAAGGAGGTTGCCAGAACCATATCTGCTGGAAATGCTTCGTCATTTGGACGTTCTGGAGTGACTGGAACAATGCTGACAATGAAATATCAGTGTCTCTTTAGACTTTGTGGATGCAATATCTTACCAACCGCCAACATCTGGTATCAGAGCCTTGGTAAGATATTGCATCCACAAAGTCTAAAGAGACACTGATATTTCATTGTCAGCATTGTTCCAGTCACTCCAGAACGTCCAAATGACGAAGCATTTCCAGCAGATATGGTTCTGGCAACCTCCTTTGTTGATTCGTCAATTAGCTCAGATGGCAACTTATTTTCATCATTCGCCGGCAGTTGTAACAACTCATTGATCACTGCAGGGCTAAGTTCCAAAATTTTGCCACGAATATATATCTTATGATACCATAGAGAGTTCGGATCGAGTACCTTCCCACTCAAGTTGGCATAAAACTCCTTGACAAGGCGAGGACAGTAACGCTCCAATCCGGTCGCCCAAAACAACAAATGTTTTTCCTCAAGGAACGCACGGAATCCTACATCGGTATACGCTCTCCGAATAAACTGAGCTTCTGAAATCACAGTCCTTCCAGCAAGAATATCCTGAGCATAACGACGCCCAGAAGCATAATAATATGCCTCATTCAACGCTTTATCTTCACGAACAGTAGAAGGATCAGAAACTCCTTTAGACTTTCGACTCTTTGCCTTAGTCCTTTTGAAAGTCTTTTTAGCAGGGGCAGGGGCATTGCGAGATGATTTGCCATGTTTTCTTTTCCGGAGTCTGTCCAAAGCAGAGGACAGACGAAGAGAGTCCAACTCATCTTCTTCTTCTTCATCGATATCGGGGTGTTCCATAGGAAGAGCTTCTTCTTCCTCAATCACATTTTCAGGAATGACTTGTTCTACCTCTGTAGCTTCAAAATTCATATCCACGGGTTGGGGTACTTCTGTTCCAACTCCTTCAATGTCTTCATCAGGTACCTCTTCAAGCACAGCCTCACTTCCAGGTTCATCAACAGCAGGAACCTCTTTTGTGATTGTAGCATCCTCTGCATCACCACCAGTAATAGTTTCAACTTCTTGAACATCAACAGGGTTCTCCTCAGTATTTTCTTCTTGTGTGCCAGCCATTTCAACAGCGACTTCATCTTCATTTGCAGTTTCCATGGGTGCGACTTCATTTAGATCAATTTCATGCACAACAGCATGTTTCGCTACATGACCTTCAAGTCCTTCAGAAAGAGAATGATCTTCAGCAGTTGAGACAGCGGTTCCCTCATCATGGGCTACATCAGTTGCTGGAATCTCAACTTCACGATCAGGTTTTTCCATCACATGTTCATGAACGGTTTCAAGAACAGGAGAAAAACGTTCAGGCAACTTTTTCCCTTTCTTTGTAGTTCCAACTTTCCTCTTTGAAATAGATTTCTGCTTAACATCCTTGGCAACTCCACCGGAACGTGTTTTCACCATGGTTGGAGATTTTGAGAGAAAAACTCCTTCACAAGTTGAAATTGGGGTTTGGAGAGAAATGATGAGTGATGTATGTGCACTCTGATCCGAAGATATAGATACAGGGGAATCAAAAACCCTTCACACGCAACCTCCATTAATTCCCATCAATCCAGGCGCGTGGGATGTCAGAGCGACGTTTTGACGTCGGAACACTGTCCAAGGCTGCAGACTCTGCAACCCTAAAAAGGCTATAAATTTCCCTTCCAATAATATTCCGCCACGTATTTCTCCTTTCCTTATATTTACCCAATATTCCAAAATATATCCAGATAAAATCCCATGAATATTGGACTTAATTCCTTCAATAATCCGCAGTAGTTAAGGTATGAACACATACCTAATTCTGTTCTTAATTTCTCAAACCTCTCTGAATCCAATGCTTTGGTGAAGATGTTTGCCTTTTGAAAATTAGTTCCAATGTGTTGCAATCTGCACACTTCAGCTTCCACAAGCGTTCGGATAAAATGATATCGGATTTCTATGTGCTTCGTTCGACCATGTTGAACTGGATTCTTCGATATGCTGATTGCACTAGTGTTGTCACACCACAGTACAAACGACTCCTTCTCAATTCCATAATCCTTCAACATTTGCTTGATCCATAACAATTGCGCACAGCAACTTCCAGCGGCTACATACTCCGCCTCAGCAGTAGACAAAGCAATCGAACTTTGCTTCTTGGAACTCCAACTGATCAAATTTTCACCAATGTAAAAACATCCTCCCGTCGTACTCTTCCGGTCATCACAGCATCCGGCCCAATCGGAATCAGTAAATCCAATTAGATCAAGTGATGATCTCTTTGAATACCATAATCCAAGTTCGGATGTTCCATTAATATACCTCAAAATTCTCTTTGCGGCTTTCAAGTGAGATTCTTTCGGGGCTGATTGGAATCGAGCACAAACACCAACACAAAATGTGATATCGGGTCTGCTAGCTGTAAGATACAACAGACTTCCGATAATGCTCCTATAGAACTTCTGATCGACATCCTTTCCTTCAGCATCTTTAGACAGCTTGTCCTGTTGTCCCAACGGTGTTCTAACAGTCTTAGAACTCTTCATACCAAACTTCTCAACCATATTCTTTGCATACTTTGTTTGGTTCAGAAATATCCCATCAGGACATTGCTTAATTTGTAATCCAAGGAAATATGTCAGCTCTCCAATCATACTCATCTCGAATTCTGAATGCATGAACTCTACAAATTCATCCTTCAACTTCTTTGCCGTTGATCCAAAGACAATATCATCGACATAAACTTGAGCAATCATAACATCAGTACCTTTATGTTTGATGAATAACGTCTTATCTGTGGATCCTCTGGTATATTCATTTCCAATCAAAAAGGTAGACAATCGATCATACCAAGCATGGGGTGCTTGCTTCAATCCATACAAAGCTTTCCTCAATTGGTAGACATGATTTGGATATAATGGATCTTCAAATCCTTTAGGTTGCTCCACATATATTTTTTCTTTGATCCAGCCATTCAAAAATGCAGTTTTGACATCCATTTGATATAGAGAAAATCCAAGTGAGCATGAGATTGAGAGTAATAACCTTACGGCTTCAATTCTTGCAACGGGGGCAAACGTTTCATCATAATCAACTCCTTCAATCTGAGTGTATCCCTGTGCAACTAGCCGAGCTTTGTTCCTTGTGATATTCCCTTTCTCATGAGATTTGTTCTTGAATATCCACTTTGTTCCAATCACATTGATGTCATCTGGTCGTTCTACCAACGTCCAGACTTTGTTCCTTTCAAACTGATTCAACTCATCTTGCATGGCACTGATCCAATATTCATCTTTCAGCGTTTCTTCAATGTTCTTTGGCTCAATGTTAGACACAAAGCAATTCATCCCAGCAAATTCTCTAAAATCAATTTGTTTTCCTCTGGTTCGACGACCTTCTTGTGGATCTCCAATGACAGCATCAATAGGGTGGTTCTTAGAAATTCTTGAACCATATCTCCTTACTTCAGCTTCAGATTGACATTCTCCAGGTTGTTCTGCAGCAGTGGTAACTTCAGTAGATTCATCTGCTTCACTCCAATCAAACAACATCGAACTCTCATCACGAGTTGTTTCTGGAATCTGGGGTAGAGGATTCTGAACCTCAGGTAAGATATTCTGATTCTGAATAGTAGGAAGAGGTATCAAGTCTTCATCATCATGTTGATTGACAGATCTCCTTTCCACACGAGAATCATCGAAAGTTATATTCATCGATTCCATAACTTTCTTCATCCTCTTGTTATAAACACGATAAGCTTGTTGTTATGAGAATAACCAATGAATATTCCTTCATCTGATCTTGCATCAAATTTTTTAAGATGACTCCTATCCTTCAAAATATAGCATCGACATCCAAATGTGTGAAAGTATGACACATTCGGCTTTCTTCCTTTCCATAGCTCGTACGGTGTGATCTCAGTGTAGGGTCTCAAATATACTCTGTTGATCACATAACATGCAGTGTTCATTGCCTCAGCCCATAAGTACTTTGCAACACCTTTGGCTTGCATAATTGATCGAGCCATTTCTTGAAGTGTTCGATTCTTCCTTTCGACTACTCCATTTTGTTGTGGGGTCTTCGGGGCTGAATACTCATGCAGTACTCCAAGATCAGAACAAAAACCATCAAACTTTTGATTCTCAAACTCCTTACCATGATCGGTACGAATTCGATTAACCTTTGATCTCTTTTCATTCATCAGTCTTTTGCACAATTTTTCAAAGATATCAAAAGTATCTCCTTTCTCTTTCATAAAATCAACCCATGTATATCTCGAGAAATCATCAATGCAAACAAGTATGTATTTTTTACCTCCAAGACTGGGTGTATCCACTGGACCCATCAAATCCATGTGCAGCAAATCAAGACAAGTTTTGCTGCTTTGATGTTCCGACTGCGGATGAGAGACACGTTTCTGCTTTCCTCGAGCACAATCACCACAAACGAAGTTAGGTAACTTCGAAAACTTTGGAAGTCCTCTGATAATTCCTTGCTTGCTCAACTTCATCAAGCTCTGTTGGTTGACATGGCCAAGTCTTGTATGCCATAGAAGGGCTTCATCATCTTTTGAGATCAATGCAACATCCACTGGTTTGTCAAGTAAGTAGCAGTTGTTCCTTGACCTTTTTCCAGTCATCACGCACTCTTTCTTGTTGTTGTAAACCTCACAAGCATCCTTAGTGAACTTCACTAACAGCTCATCATCACATAACTGATTGATACTAATGAGATTAGTACTCAAGCCTTCAACAAAATATACCTTCGTCAACTTCGGTATACCTTTGGCTTCGAGAGAACCATAGCCCACAATTTTTCCTTTGGCTCCATCTCCAAATATCACTTCTCCACAAGTGTCAGCTACATAGTTCTTCAATAGATGCTTCTGATTCGTCATATGGCGTGAACATCCACTGTCGAAATACCATCGGGATGAATTTGTTGCTTCTTGACTAGAAAGGATGACATTGCACATCATCTTAGATTGATTCTTCTTAGGTCTCCATTCCATTCTGAAATTCACCCTTTGTTTCAGCTCATCTGAGGGCCAATTAACCTTCTTCCCAGACATCAAATCCCTAGCCAGCTTGAAACAGTGAGATTCAGCATGACCAAATCGAAAACAGTATTTGCAGTTACTCTTCTGTTGTAACGACTCGTTGACACGTCTGTTCCTTCTGCGATTTTGATTTTGTCTCTCCTTTCTGTTTTCTTTGGGACCTTCAGTGTTCTTCCCTTTTGCAGGTTTCTCTGGAATCTTCACATCAGTAAGCAAACCTCCTTTCACAAAGGTAGTTGGATTCACCTTCATGGATTCTTGATAACCAATCCCACGATGATCTCCAAATGGCTTTCCAATCGATAAAACTTCATCGAGTTTGTCTTTTCCTTTTCTGAGTCTATCATTTTCTTCTCTCAGATCATCACACTTCATTTTCAACTGCTTGACGTCCTTCTGAAGTCCTTCATTGATTTCGAACATTTCTTGATTCACTTCATCAGCTTTTTCAACTCGAGCTTCCAAACGGTAAACTGTGTTGATCAAATCCTTGTTTCTCTTAACACAAATTTTATGTTCAGCTACAATTTCCTCATAAGCTTCCATTAGCTCATAGATATCCATCTCGATTGTGTCGTTGCTGTTACATTCTTCTTCAGGAACACTTTCTTTTCCTTTGCTAGATTCTCCTTCTTTGGCAACAAAAGCAACAACGCTTTCATTATCACTTTCATCTTCAGATTCTTGACTGTCTTCTTCATCACTCCAGGTAGCTTGAAATGCATGCTTACCTTTCTTCTTGAATGTAGCACATTCCACTTTCACATGTCCAACTTCGCCACATGCAAAGCATTTCGGATCACTTGAGTTTTCTAGCCTAGAAGCAGTGTTGAACTTCTTCTTATAGCTTTTATCATAAGCTCCCTTTTCTTTGTTGTAACCAACACTTTTGTGTTCTGGATACTTTCGTTGTTCTCCAGTTGTTTTACCACCATAGTGACCTCTGTTTCCAGAATTGTGGTATTTTCGAGCACGCTTTTCACTTATCATTCGAGACAACTTCTTGGACAGAAGAGACATTTCTTCGTCAGATCCGACAAGCTCCAGATCTTCGGCAGTAAGAGCAATCCCTTTTGAACTTTCTTCTTCAATATGATTCATCTCCCAATTCATGAAAATAACATTCAATGTTTCAAGATTCATGTTCTTGGTTTTCTTCTTATCCTCAAGTGTAGAGACTTTGATTTTGAACTTTTTGTTCACACTTCTCAGCATCTTTCGAACCAGCCTTTGTTCATCATATACTAAGCCAAGAGCATATGCTTGATTTACCATATCTTTGAATCGAGTGTAGAACTCAGACATCGTTTCATCATCAGTCATTTTCAGGGCTTCGAACATACTTTCTACCCTTTGGAGTTTTGTTTCTTTAACTTCAGCAGTCCCTTCAAATGCATTTTCCAAGGCTCTCCATGCATCTTTTGCTTTCTTGTAGTTTGAGATGACACGAAACTGAACTTCATCGACAGAAGCAAATATGGCATTTACGGCTTTGGCATTTCCACCAGCAGCAATTTTTTCTTCAGGTGTCCACTCATTTTTCGACTTTAGAATGATAGTTGGGGGGTCGTTCTGAGTTTCTCCAGGCACAACTTTGGTTGGAGGAGTCCAGCCAAGCTCTACAGCTTCCCAAGTTTCATCACCAAGAGTTAACAGATATGCCTCCATCCTATTTTTCCAGTAGGTGTAGTTGTTCCCATCGAACACAGGTGGACGAATAGACGAGATTACTTCACGACTCATCTTGAACCACGGACAGATCTACTCGGGGTATTGAGCACGCTGCTCTGATACCAGATGTTGGAAGTCGCGGAGAGGGGCGCGAAAGAGGTCCAACGCCTCCGAGTACCTTGCACAGCGGAACTGTGAAACGTTCGACGTAAACACAGCTTTACAACGTAGTTGTCTCGCGGTTATAACAGAGGTGTGTGTTCATGCACAAATCGATGGCTGAATATGTGCAGAAAGAAAAACAACACACCAAGTTTGTTTACCCAGTTCGGTTTTCCAACCTACGTCTGGGGGATTCCAATCCAGGAGTCTTAACTAAACCAAACACTTGGTTTACACCATATAAGACACCAAACCGAACTACCCAACCTATCTTCTACCCAAGCTCCATTTAGTTTTACAAACTCTCATGGACTGGCTGTTACTCTACCGCAACAACTCCAGCAAGCCAGCGACCAAGCTAAGAATAAGGTTGTTTACCGGATGAATATCTTCTTCGGCTTCGACTCCAAGAATCCTTCTTCTCGTCTTCAATCCTCCATGGATGAGCTCTCTCAACACTCTAACAGGTGGAGAGAATACTTCTCTAAGTTCTGGTTGCTCACCCACGAATACAAACAAACATTCATATCAAATATATACACATTACACAAAAGACAAAAGTTGACTGTGACAACTTTTGGGGCAGTGTGTTCAAGGTCATTTAATGTCATCCAGTATGAGAGGACAATACATGCAGCTTCTCCTGCACGTCCTCTGTCCAATGCATATTCATTTGTCCTATTCCATTGAGTGTAGAACACACAAGATGCATCCAAAAGCTGTAACTCGGTCAACTCTGCAGTTGACAGGTTTCCCGAAATGGTGTCAAACAGAACCTGCAACAACATCCTGCAACTTGCTCATATGTCAAACAAAAGGGTTTGGCAATTTTGAATATGCCAACATATTCAATTATGTTCTTTTGAGTTTAGAATGTTTAAAAATTTTTGTTATTAGTTATTGAAAATTATAAAAGTGTTATAAAAGTATTTATTTTATTAGAGTTAGATTTTAAAAATAATATATTTTTTATTAAAATATATAAATAGTTTTTTTTATTGAAAATGATGTAAAATATAAAATAATAAATTTTTTGTGTATATATTTATTATGTTAGTTATCGATTAGTTCATTATATTTATAATTTTCAATAAATTTAATTTATTTTTAGTATAAAATTTATATAATGTAATTTTAATAAAAAAATAAATAAACTATTAATATTTATATTTTTATTTCATGTTGATTTTAATAAATTTATATATTTTACAATTAAAATAATTTTTATATAAAAATTAATTATTTTAAATTTATAAAAGTAAAACTATAATATAATAAAATATTCTAATATAATTAATAAATAATCAAAATATATTTATTTGTGTAAAATGTATAATATATTTTTAAGGGCATATAAGGAATAAAAAAAATTTTTACAGAAAAAATTATTTCAAAACGTTGGGTAAGTTAGCTTTTCAAAAATTAGTTTTTTGGGTCCAAAAAGCTATTTCAAAAAGTTAATTTACCAAACACCTAAATTAGCTTTTTAACTGGTCAAACAACTAAAAGCTGTTCAATAAGCTAAAAGCTCTTCAAAAAGCTATTTGTCAAACACCCCATAATCTTGGCAGAATCATAGAATAGATGAAAGATTTGATTGATTTTACACTCGGTAATATACTCAATTTTATATCTCAATACCATAAAGCACAACAATATATATATATATATATATTTGAATTTTTGGCATTATTCACCATTTTTTTTAAAAATAGTACTCTCTCCGTCTCATGTATTATGGGCCTATTACTGTAGATACGAGAATTTAAGTAAAGTGTGATTAGCAAGTAATTAAGAAGTGTATTAGTAAAAATAATTATCGTATAATAAAAATAATTGTGGATTAAGATTAAGATAACTAAATAGTTTAATTAAGATTAAAAAAATTATAAAATTTAAAATTTAAAATGAGATTAAAGTGTATAATTATATTTCCAAAAAAGGAATAGACAAATTATGTGGGACCGACGAAAATAGAAAATAGAGACAAATTATGTGGGACGGATGGAGTATTAAATAATTTTCTTTATTTTAAAAAATATTATATCAAAAACTTAATTTTTTACTTATTTTAAAAATTTTATAAATTTTAAAACTTCTAACCGGAGACTAAATAAAATGCTTTTATATATTATCTCTAAAATGCTTTTATATATTATCTCATATTGTTGTAATTTCTTTTTTTTTTAAAGAAATTATATTTTTTTCATTATGACATTAATATTTTGTTTCATTTTTTTCAGATTTTCATTGATGTTAATTAATTTTCTTATGATTTACTATTATACTGCCACTTTTATCGTTATTCTATTTGTATCTGCAATAATTGTATAAATAATTTCTATTTTTAATATATTGTGCATTAATAATGATTGATATTATTGAAATATTTTTTCTCTTAAAATATCTTAACAGAAATTGTTAACACACTTTATAATGAATATTATAAATAAATTACGATATATATACATCCTTATATAAATAAAATACATATATTTAAATCACTAATAATAATATTATTTTTTAGAATAATAATATGTTTCATCATTTCTAATAAAAAAAATAACAAAACTTTAAAAAAATACATATACAAAAGTGAATACACCCATTATGTTTGTGTGTTTATTTTGGAGATTGAATTTTTTATTTGGGTTTTAAATAGTAAAATTTAAAACGAGAATAATTATTCAATGTGATATATATTAATATTGATGTGATGTTTCGAATGTTAAATTAATTTTTTTAGTACAATATACAAATAAAAAACCAAGTATGTTATTTTATATTTTTGAGAGAAATATTTAAAGGATTTTTTTTTGTTTATGTACTTAAAAATTGAGATTGAGCATGTTAGTTATTCGTTGATGTAATATATATGTTTTCTCATGGATAATCAAGTATTAGGGTCGAATGTTCCTGATTATTTATTTATTTATTTATTTGCTCCAGCATGCATGTTCTTTTTCCCATTTTATATGTCTTGATATGGTATTTTCGTGGCTTTAATCCAAAGATCTCGGGTTTTTTTTAAATTAAATAGTTTGAAAAGATATTTTTTATATAAAATATAAAAATTTATGTAAACAATATAAAAATAATAATTGTGTGCAATATATTTGTACATATCCAAACAATTAATCGACCGAAGGTGCAACCCAAACGGATATCTTCCCGTCCAAGGACATTTGCGGTCCATGCGACTCAAAATAATAGACGGTAAAGAAGTGGTTAGAAAATTAATAGAGTTGTTGGAGAAAATTTGGAGATAAAATTTTATCCAAATGAATTCAAAATATAACAAGATTTAAAGAAAATCAAGATCAGAACACCAAAACGGGAGCCACTGATCAATCATCTTCTTCTTCACTTTTTTCTTTGCATTATTTTACTGTATTTTTTTCCAAATTTTGAAGGGTTTTCTTTTCATTAATTCCAACTTTAATTTCCAACTTTGTTCTTGTTTTATTAGTCTTATTTTGTCTTCCCTTTATATTAATTATTTGTATATCGCAAGATAGTTTGAATCATTCCTTGAGTAGGCCGAGGAACCTTTCGAACAAATCAAATACTGACAGGCTTCCGATTAAGCTGCAGGAAATGATATTTTACAACAGCAACATTTTTTTTTTTGAGAAATATATTTTTCAAAAAAGAACACAATACTCTTTTTTGATATATGTTTGAGAGTGTTTGAATTTTAGTAAAAATTTGAAAATAAGCAAAATTTGAATATTTAATATTATTGTTGAGCACAAAAAATGAGATTAGAGTTTAAGCCCAGAAACGATGAATGGATAGGCCCAGTGGCGATCCAATGAAGGGCCAGAGTCAATCGATCGGACGGTTGCCTCTACGGACAGTTTTCATCCGAATTTGGGCCTTGGGACGGCTACAAAAGTTACCAAAATGTAGGAACTATTTTAGTGGAACGACCGGTTGGTTGGTCACAAAGGTTATTGGCTAAGAACCGAGTTCGGATAGTACAACAAGTTCGGATGGTTCAGGTCGGTAATCAACAAGAAAGCGAGTTCGGACGGTACAGTGAGTTCGGACGGTTCAAAAGTCACCAAGGTGGAAACGGTTTTCTGACGATTACCGACGTGAAAACAGTTTTCTGACGGTTACCAACATGGAAGCAGTTTTCAAGAGTAACTGTCATGGAACCTGTTCTAAACGTTTTGGTTTGATACGTATTTAAGCCTCAGCAATTGAGGAAGATCATCTTCAATCAGACGAAATTCCAAAAGAATTTCATTGGGATCACCATTTTATTTTCAGTACTTTATTTTTTCTTCAACTCTTTGTTTATAGCTTCAGAATTTATAGTTCCAAACTTTATTGTTCAAGTTCGAAATATATTTTCGAATTTTACTTTTTATTTGTTAAAATTTTACCATCAACAATTATGTTTTGAAAAAAAATAATAATAAGTATTTGATATAAAAAAAAAATTATAAAAAAAATTATTATTGATAAATAATATCACATTTTATATAAAGAAAAAATATATATATAGGCAAACATAGTCTTATGTTCTGTGCTTACATAAGTATTTTTTCTAGTATTATTATTACTATATTATTGTACTATAAAATCTAAATTATATGATGTTATTTCTTTAATACAAATAATTTATTATTTCTTTTATGGATGTAAAAATTACAATAGTTTGTGGTTTTCAGTTTTAAATAATAAAATTTTAAATTGTAATAATTATTTGATATGATAGTATAAATAGGTACTAATGTGATAGTTTTTAGTTGTGTCAATTTGTATATTTGGGTCATATTCGTGTTGAATTGAGCTATAGGTGTAACAAAAATTTGTCAACCCGAAACCCTAGACCCAAACATAACACAAATTTTTTCGAGTCATCCGAAACCCAAACAAATCCGACACAAAACTGTTAT